CATTATTTTCGGGCCCCGTTAAATCGTGACGTGTTATCCATTACACTATCGGCCTGTGAGCCATTTCCTGGTGCCTTTTTTGGTAGTACCTCTGATAGTCTGATACTTTTAAATTCTTGATTTTTATCCTTATTTCGTAATTATCTTCAACAGATCTCCCATCCTCGAGGAGCTGCGATTCCGAGGATTATCTCTTGTCGAAAATAAGCGCGGGAAAATCTCTTGTCGGAAATAAATGCGGGAAAATTTACCGGCAAAGAAGTTTTTAGAAAAGTTGATTTCTAAGAAAAACAAAAATATTAACAGGCAAAAGCTGGTCAGAATTTAGTACCACAGTCATTCTTCAAGCGAAAAAAAAAAATTGGTTTTTTCAGGGAAAAGAAGCTGCCTACGGTTCCGGAGACTATATTGAAACGGCGGAAACAACGTGCCGAGCAAAATGCGCGATCCAACGTCAGAAAAGCCAAACTTGCTGTAGTTCGTACTTTTCTACAACTTAGGATTTCTCGCTTTGAGCGAAATAAGGTCTCGCGATCCACGATCAACATGGATTCTGCGTATGCATCATATTCATAGGGCTCGACGAGGCTGGTACTAGAATCCCGGGGGAAGGGGAGGAGGGACTGTGAGAAATGGGAAGAGCCCTTTCCCCCCTTGGAGCAGTATAAAAGCAAGGAATGGAGTTGTAACACACAGATACTTGGAGTTTTTTTGGTACGTGTTCAACACCACTATCTTCTTCACCTTCTTATATTTCCCCTCCCCCTTCCAATTTAATAAGATTCACCGTATTTAGGATTGACTCCGACTTATGCACGGCCTAGTTAGAGTCACCCAGTACCGGTTCAGCCCCTACTTTTCCTAATTCCATCCGCCCACAGGGCCCAAACGGACCGGATTTAGGATCGACTCTGTCTTATGGACGGCCTAATTAGAGTCACCCAGTACTGGTTCAACCCCTAAAAGCTAGGCGTAGAGTTGTAACATTGCTAATTAAAGTTTTTTTTTTGGTACATGTTCAACACTACTATCTTTTTTACCTTTCCTAATTCCATCCACTTTTCCTAATTCCTAATTCCATCCGCCCACAGGGCCCAGACGGCCCGTGGGGTCTTTTACTTACTTTAGTTTCGAGTTACTTTGGGTTTTAGTTTACTTCTGACGGGGCTTGAACTGCGCGTACTGGTCTTCCTATTTTACCCCTCACTGAATTGGTCGTTGTTTACTGTCCTGTTTGTGGACTTTTTACAGCTTTTTATATTGTTTACAAGGCCGTTACGGTCCGTACTGCTCTTCCTACTTTACTTTAGTTTTAGCTTTAGACCCGAACTTTTGCAGCACTGGTGCCTGTGTCACGCTGAAAGAGAGAGAGAGAGAGAGAGGGGGTGGGGGGTTCCCCGGTTTCAGTTATGTACAAGTGTACTTAAAAGGGCCGTGCAATTGAGGAAAACGAGGTACGTCATACCTCAAACCGCTATTTGGGGGATCAGGCGACCCGTGCAGCCCCTAGTACCAACTTCTCGACTTCTTACTGAAGCCGGTGACGGTTACTTGCCCACATTTCCATGAAAAAGCAGCGGCAATGACCACAGCAACAACCGCGAGAATTTTCAAGAACGTGGGACTGACGGAAATTGGGGCTTATATAGCCCGCAAACTGGTAAAACTCGGATCTTGCCCATCCGAACTGCCATTTCTGGGTATTTGGTCAAGATCAGGCCAGTTTTTCAAAGATCATCGGTAGATAAGATATTTAAGCCGATTCCCTGCCTCAGATTCTAATATTCAGCTATGCTGAATTTCCTTCGGTTTTTACAGCCCACTTCTTTTTTTCTGTTATTCTTTAGGCCTACCGACGGCCATAAATTACCACCCCTCCTCTACACCAACCTTGGCATTCCCTGTTTTGGAATGACCATTTTTTGGTTGGGCTCCTTATTCCCTTTCGAAAACGCGGAACTGACGAAAAATGGGGCTTATATAGCCTGTAAACCGGCAGAACTCCGACCTTGCTCATCCGAACTGCTCGTTCCGGGTCCTTGCTCAAGATCAGGCCAGATTTTGAAGAATCATCGGTAGATGAGGTATTTAAATCGATTCCCTGCCTCAGATTCTAATATTCAGCTGTGCTGAATTTCCTTCGGTTTTTACAGTTCTCTTCTTTCTTCTGTTATTCTTTGGGCCTACTGATGACCGTAAATCACCACCCTTCGTCTAGCACAACCCTGACATCCCCTGTTTTGGTTGGGCCCCTTCTTCCCTTTCAAAAACGCGGAACTGACGAAAAATGGTGCTTATATAGCCTGTAAACCGGCAGAACTCCGATCTTGTCCATCCGAACTGCCATTTTTGGGTATATGCTCAAGATCGGGCCAGATTTTGAAGGATCATCGGTAGATGAGATATTTAAGTCGATTCCCTGCCTCAGATTCTAATATTCAGTTGTGCTGAATTTCCTTCGGTTTTTACAATCCTCTTTTTTCTGTTATTCTTTGGGCCTACCGACGGCCGTAAATTACCACCCCTTGTCTACAACAACCCTGATATTCTCTGTTTGGAATGACCATTTTTGGTCGGGCCCCTTCTTCCCTTTCTATTTCAGCAAAATCTGCAAATCTTGTGGGCCTCCATGGCCCTTTCTTCCCGTACAATTTCAGCAAATTCTGCAAATTTTTTGTTTCAGAAAGCGAAGAAAAAGCGACTTGAAATTTTCAAACGTGCCGAGCAGTACATAAAAGAACATCGGGAACGTTTGCGTCATGAACTGCAAATGAAACGTGAAGCAGCAAAAGTGGGCAATTTCTACGTACCGGATGAACCGCGTCTTGCGTTTGTTATCCGAATTCGTGGTGTCAATCAGATGCATCCACGTCCCCGTAAAGTGCTGCAACTGTTCCGTTTACGCCAAATCAACAACGGTGTTTTCATCAAGCTGAACAAGGCAACGCTCCAGATGCTCCGCATCGTAGAACCATACGTAGCCTGGGGATATCCGAGCATGAAATCGGTGCACGATTTGATCTACAAACGTGGATATGCAAAAATCAACGGGCGTCGTGTACCGCTCACCGATAATTCGATTATCGAAAGAGTACTTGGTATGTATTTTTGAGCATTTTTTTACACTTTCAGGCATCTCGTAGTTTGAATAATGAACATAGTAAACAAGAATATCGAGACATCAAACTTGAAGACAGCCGAAGGATCTCATGAGAATTTTAAGAATCTCATGTTGGTGATGTTATTGGGATGTTCCTGCGCGTTGAGCACAGTTTTGCCAGGCCTTTGGTTCGTTCCTGGATTAAGCACCTTCATTTAACACCTATCACCTGTACGATGTATGTGCGTCTACCTCTTCGGAAATCACCTAAATGGCCGTTTACTTCCTCGCGGATCGTTCACTAATGTGCGACATACACTGATTGTTAACAAGGCAAACAACATGACCTGCCCAGCAGATTCTACTTTCTTGTACAGTCGCAGTGTTAACCTCTTGCACGCCGCTCATCTGACGAAGAATCTGATTGCTTAAGTGATCACGGAAGCCCACTCCTTGCATTCTTCGCTCCATTGCTACCTACAACAGAGCCAGCGTTTTTTTCTTCTGCTTTCGCTAGTAACAAGCGTTTGTGATGCTGAAGAAGAAGAAGATTGCTGGAATTGTCGCATTTGAAAAAGCCAACAATACTAATTCTAATTTTAATTGGTATGTGTTTATGTAAGATGTAAGGAACTAAAAAAGGAACTAATTTAAGGGACTAATGTATTATTGAGGCATTTTGTACATTTTAGTAACACTGTCTGCATTTTGGTAACATGGCTAGAAATGCTAGGAAGTAATAAATTAGGAGATAAGGAATAAGACTAAATATCACACGCATGACAACATGCTTGAATGCAGTCTGTTTTTCATCCCTTAGCTGTAAACACAATCCTACAGAGCCCTGTGGTATCACGATCAGATAATTATCGTATCTTTTTTTTTGTTGCAGGGCGGTTGAATATAATTTGTATGGAGGATCTTGTGCATCAGGTCTACAACGTTGGTCCAAATTTCAAGCGGGCAACAAACTTTTTGTGGCCCTTCAAGTTGAATAATCCAACAGGCGGCTGGACAAAGAAGACGAATCATTTTGTTGAAGGTGGTGATTTTGGCAATCGTGAGGATCAGATCAATGCGCTGCTCAAAAGAATGATTTAAAAGAATTTGGACATCTGTTTTGTTATTGTTTTAAATAAAATTGAAGTTAAAAACAGTCCCAAACACACCTAAATCTGAACGGTCAAGGGTATAACAGTATTGGTGTGTGGGGTGCTATTTCATTGAGATCACTCTAACGATTTCGGACAGTGGTCAGGCTGCAACACACGCTGACGAGGGCCGGAACCAGCTGTAGGGGGTCCTCCTGTCGGACTGCGGGGACTCGCCCAAATCAATAAACAATGCTTTATTTAAAATAATCCGACAGCAGTTCCAAGCTGCCACCGTACAATGTGTAGGAGCGGGAGAGAATTATTCGGCGCAGAAAAACAGTCCTCATTTCTAATCACATCATTACGTATTACAAAAGAGGAGCTCGAGTCAGGAGACGGCGCATTTACATATCATCAGTTCTAAGGATGACTGGACAAGGCGAAGGCGTTTAGCCGCCAGCTTCGTTTGCTTGCTGCTGGCATCTTTTTATGCGTTTTGTTCTCTGTAACAGCAGTACAAAACGCATATTGTCACGGGTTGTCTGTGTGTGTTTGTGTGTGTGTGTGTGTGTGTGTGTGTGTG